CTATTTTCTGTTTTTGAAGGACTTTTTAAAACCGCCATTGCAGGCCAGCCAGTTGCACTTTGCAGGGTGGGCAGCCTGATTGCGGTTTTAAAAAGTTGCGGTTTTAAAAAGTCCTTCAAAATCCGAAAATAGGCCAAAAATCGGACAAATTTTGACCGCCGGCCCCGATCTATTCTTAGTTAAGTTGCTGTAGAAGTTAATTGCTTTTCATTGCGTGTTTGGGTGTTCGAAAAGGTGTTAAAAGATATGTCCGGCACGAATTTCAGCGTTCCTAGACTATTAAGCCGCCAATTGGACGTTCGAATTTCAGCGAAATGACATGGATGTCGTGTGTTGCAGCAGAAAATCTTACCTCGATATCATCAATCTTGCATTACTTATTTACAAGTTTCGCCGACCGCGGATTCTGAAAATCTGACAATCTATAGTTTCAAATTGCTTATGGAATATAAGCCAAATCCTATCATTCACGTCATACTACGTTTAATTTCATTCTCAGTTGGACGAATTTACCATTTTCGAGTACATAATACCACATATTCATTCGATATTTTTTTTCTTTTAGCGCTTTTGATGATAAAAGCAAAACTGTAGGGAGATATATTATTATTATCATTATCATTATCATTATTATTATCATATTATACTAATTTTTATAGTATTATTTATGTAATCTTAGTTTCACAGTTGGCAACACATTAGTATGCACAAACATATCAATTAATAGCATATACTATTACATATTTTGTAGTATACATATATGGTATGGTATAAATATCAATACATAATATTATATAGCTTTTTTAGTGACATATTGACTTGATCTTACTATTGCTATTATATCGGGTGGCCCAGAATAAACGTACCGCCTACATACGCAATTGCATATCAACTTTATTTTACATGGTGTAATCTTCTCCGTCTTAAAGATGGGTTCCCGTATTTTTATTTTTGAAAATGAAAATGCTAATACTTATATCAATAGAAAGTAGAGGTGTTCTAATGACTTGGAAAAATATCAGTTTATCTCCCATGTCCATAATTTAACTCAAAATTAGAGAATTGTCAGCAGAATTCCAATGAAGAAAGATCAAGAAAGATCAAAAAGTCTTTTTTTTTGTTTATCCAGACTCTACATACATGGATATTTATGGTTGGTTTAAACTCTTATTTATATGCATTAAGAACATAATGATATGATTAAGAATACATGATAATTCATTAGAAACACCAATTAATCAAATAGTATGCTTAATTCGACACTAGAAAATAAGAAAGCCAATCTTTAAGCGTTTGGCTACTTCTATTTTATCAATAATTCCACATCGAAAGTTCACGTGACATCTCACCTTTACACATCTTTAACGGAAAATTATTATGTGCCTTCATTGACCTGCAAAAAATACGCTTCGACAACATCGATAGGAATCGGGATTAGTACAAAAATAAAAGCAGCATTCGTTCTTTTTATTCAGCTGTAAAAATATGCATCAGGCATAGCAACTCTGGTTTCTTCAACAGTTAACAGGGGGTAAAACAAGGTGCACCGTTGTCGCCGTTGTTATTCGTGTATGATGTTAAATGACTTTACGAGTTACGTCACTGGTTTTTCTTCGAATATATTCAGATTCAACAGTTAATACAATTTATACATACTCATATTTGCGGACGACACTGTTTTTTTGCAAAGCCAAAATTGTTGAATTTTTTGAAAATTCCAGTCATATACAATATTTAGATGTCGGCTTAGAGAGAGTGACGCTTCTTTCTGTTGATTATAATTATAGTAATTTGGTCCAGACTTTTCTATCGTGTGGTTTAGAAGGGATGTCATTGAACAAGAAGCGCGTTTTTTGTGAGGGGGGAGGGCGGTGGGGTGGCGGTTACTGTATAATATGTCATTTAAAATCTAGACAGAAAAGGTTTGACTTCTCAAAAAGTGAGTAGTACAATAAAAATTAAAAACCAATTCGGTCACAATTGAAATCGGCAACGGATATTTATACCTTGGTCGTGGTTTGTTTTTCTGTACACAAGCTGCTGATGCCTACTTTCATTGATGCAGAAAAAAAAATAATGAATACTGCGCAGGTATTGTAGATGTACAGTACTTTATTTTTCCGCTTTACCAGTTGAAAGAACATACTTTCAAGTATACGTTTTGCTTTTAAAAACTGTGGTCGCTGTTGTACTAGTGAAGGATTCAAAGATTTTTTGTCGGACTTTCGATCAGTATTTGTATATTCTGTGTCCGTGTAAAAGGTAAATCTAAAATAAATTCTTGTTTAAAGTTGAGAATAGACAAAGTACGATGTCTGATGAGCGTTCGACGAGGATTTATTGATACAATCCCGCACGGACACCGAGAACATTGTCTATTTACACCTTATACTGTAATTAATATGAATTCGACCAATTTCTAGACGTGGACGTTTCCAATGCTAGGGGTAAAAAAGGAAAATTTGTAAAAAATAATTAATGACGAGAATATCGTGATGTAAAAGCAACGATGTCATAAACATCGTACACCATTGCTAATTTCTAAATAAAGTGTCTGCTCCACCCTAGGCCTGTACATTTGGGAGAATCAAACCCTCCCTTCCCCGAAACCTAAATGTCGCTTAAGGATTAAATAGGTATGGGTTCTCTTACCTACAGTATCGACAATACTGAACCGGATACCAAGTCGGACATTATATTTTGCACTTTCATAGATATCAGACCATATGGATGCTCTACAATGACTACTATTTTGACAAACTTTGGTCTTGTCGGCGTAAACAGCGTAACTTTCGAATAAGCATGAACGTATCGGCACTGAACTTTGATTGATTGATACAATTCATGTGATAAAAACAAATTGAAATGGTGAGAAGTCAGTTCTTGGCGAGAAATTTGGCAAATTGTTATCAGGTGTCCGGAATTTCTAGCAAGCTTTGATCTCTAGCATCACCGGAGACACGAACTGCCATAATTCCAAACACCCGATGTCATTGTGTCCAACTTGATACCAGTAAGAAGCATCCCGCAAACATAAATAGCCAGTGTCTTGCATCCTCCACAATAAAAACATTCCATCTTTTAATGCAGTCTGCATCCGAAAAACGTGCTTTTCAATTTGCGAATATCAAGTCTCAAATGACCTAGCGGGACGGTGGGGAATTCAAGACACCGATATATAGCCTACTTGAAAGGTTTGGGTCATATTTTTTTTCCATTTTAGGAACTAACATGGGAAATGGAGCAAGTGTACAACCTTCAAAGACTGAACAGGATATGCAAAGACGAATGACTCTAATCGAAAGCCAGAATTCTCTTAGCGGTATCCCTGTCGTTGAAGAATGCCAGTCTTTATCCCAAAAAGATTTGGAAGCCATGAAGATTGACCCCAAGGATTATAACTTTTCTTTTGAAAACTTGGTTTTTGAGGGCGGTGGAAGTAAGGGTGCCGCTTACGTGGGGGCTTTAAGGGTAAGTTATTGTCAGGCGTTTCTACGATTGCTATTGCGTTTTGTCAAACCACCTTTCAGAGAGTTCACATATTTATGTCCTAAAGCGGTCAACTCGTCATTTCTTTCAGTCAGGTAGCTGATAACGTAATGTTTATTTAATATTCATTTCTGTCAACTCGACACGCATTTCAGAAAAGAAAAGAAGCCAAACGTCCATATTACCTGCTTATCTTGTCGAAAACTGAGTTAAAATGAAGACGGGCAATATCCAATCTACGTTTCGAAACACATACAGGTAACGTTATCAAGTAAAATGATTAACAACTGGTTGGTTGATAGATGACAAGTTAACGTTCGCTTCCAGCGGGATGCTGATATCGCAAACTAGGTAGTTGTTTGTAGTCGTAGTAGTTGGATTGGATCAAATTGGATGATTCTGTGTTGTTGGTTTGGTCGTTGATTCTTCGTTAGATCTGATCGGGTCGAATGACATGGCGATGAAACTCGGCCCTGAATGGTGTGGCGTGAGTTACTCGATCTCTTTCATTCCTCCAAACTCGTTCTGATCATGGTATTTCTTGTTGATTGGTAGTCGAATGGTAGTCGTTTGATTAACAACAAAAAACAATCCAATTTATAAGGAGATCTCAGAAGAAATTGGGAAGATAAAAGAACAAATTATAACAACAAAGAATCACTTGTTAAGGATAAGTATATGACAACAAAGGGTACAACAAGCAACAAATTGACCAAGAGTTAATCATTTTACTTGATAACGTTACCTGTATGTGTTTCGAAACGTAGTATGTAATAAAACTAGAAGTAGTATATCCATATGTCTTAGTGTTTTATTGTAATCTTCCTACTTCTATATGTCTTATAAACAATAGAGAATAAATAATAATGAAACGCAATTGCGTTTTACAGTGTTGTACAGTGTTTCATATTGGCATATATGCCAGAACAAAGAGTCTTAGTTGTGTTGAACGTTTCCTATTTTTGTAGTATATGGAAGAAATTGGAATGTTGAAGAAAATCAAGAGGTTTGCCGGAAGTAGTTCAGGGGCAATGTGCTCCTGCTATCTCGCCGTGGGGTATGGAACCGAAGAGATCTCCAACCTCATGGAACCAAAATACGTCTCATCAGTAACAAATTGTAAATTATTTTGTCAATTCCTTTTGTCGCTATCACTTCTTCTCAAATAAGACATACTAGCAGCTAGACCGAAACATCTGCCTCTATACCAGCCTCTGATAATTATAGACGCTATGATCGCCCGGCCCCGATCTATTCTTTGTTAAGTTGCTTTTGAACTATGTTCCATTGCGTGTTTGGATGTTCGAAAATGGTGTTAAAAGATATGTCCGGTACGAATTTCAGCGTTCCTAGACTATAAAGCCGCCAAATTTACGTTCGAATTTCAGCAAAATTACATGGATGTCGTGTGTTGCAGCAGAAAATCTTACCACGATATTACCAATCTTGCTGCACAAATTGACAACTTTGTTTTCGCCGACCGCGGATTCTGAAAATCTTACAATCTATATTTTCTATTGCTTATGGAATATAAAGCAAATCCTATCATCCACGTCATACTACGGTTTATTTCATTCTCAGTTGTACATTATGTAACGTCGGATCTGTAGCTAGCTATTGATATATTTTTGACAGTTATGCGTATTAACTGAAAAAACTGAAAAGACCTACTGTAGTTATAAGATAGAAAATGAAATGAAATGAATACTCTTCTGCACCTTGTGGGCTAATGAAGACGCGCAACGCCATGCAGGGTGCCACGAGGGAAATTTTGCCAGGACAGCGGCTTTAGCCCGCTCTTTTTCGATTTCCAACTGTCGAGGGATCTTTAACGTGCACAGCCTGTAGCACACGGGGCCTCGGTTTATTGTCCCATCCGAACGACTAGACGCTTTATCCATGTCAGTTCCTCTTACCTGCATCACTGACAGTTGGGAAACCGAGTTGAAAAATCTGAAGGTATTATCTCGACCTATGCCGGGATTGAACCCTGGACCTTCAGGTTAGCGAGCAAGCGTCTAACTCACTGAGCCACCGCGGCTCCCAGTTATAAGATAGGAATATGTATCACAGCGTTAGTGTATCTGATCTCCAGTACACCTGCCTTTTAAATCAATACCTGTCCATAATTAACTTGGTATCATCTAATTATTCCAATGAAATAGAGCGATCTTTAATAGTTCTGTGAATAGCTGTATGTAAGGGCATATTTATCGGCTAAACTGATCTACATCTCCAATCATGTATAAAAATTATTCACTAATACTTACACAGCTTTCATTTTAAAGTAAATGTTAAAGGGACATACCACTTTTTTGTAAAAAAATAAAAAAAATTAAAAACGAAGAGTACTATTTGTTAATTAAGCAGTTTGGCCTTGTTTTGGTGTTTAGCTATAATGGCTCCATATTATTAGTTAAAACGTTTAAAAGACATCGGAGATATATTTCTCTAAAATTAAGCCCTTATTTTACTTAAATCCGTAAATTAGTTTTTTAACAGCTTCCAAAAACGTCAACTTTTTAAAACTGGCTTTAATTTAAGCAAAAAAAAAATAATTTTAACCTACAAAAATAGCGGAATGCCCCTTTAAACATGATTTTCATACTCAAATTCCAATTTTAGTCAAAAACCCCTTATCTGTAGTTATAACTAAAAATATCCTGCCGTTAATTTCCAAAACTAAGCTGGATTTATACATCTGACGCCGTCAACCGCCATAATATGCTACCATACGCTTGCAGTCGGTGGTTGCTAGCGTTCATCAGCGCAATGGTTTATACTATCCACGTCAGAGAGTATTCGCCATATACCGGTGCAAGTTGGCGTAACATTTACCAGAGTTCAACTGTGTTGAACATTAAATACGTGAATTTACATACGCCGACAATGCCGAAAAATTCACAACACAACAGCACAGCACAGACAGGTTGTCATTTGGGTCAGTACGATAGATATTAAAAATGTTGAAAATTTAGATGAGGGGCTGATCAGTGAGATTGAAAATCCGATGGGGGAGTTGAATAATTGGTCCAGCGAGCTGCAGAACCTCTTTGAGGAGAATTGCGGGTGAAAAGCGAGCGTAACTGATGAAACATTTGGTATCTGCAATTTCATGCTCTCGCACTAGTAGATGAAAATCAAAAAATGTGGCTTGCATGCACCTCTCTAGTCGATTCTAGTTTGTAGCTGCACGACGAAAATAGGTCGGCCCACTTGAGCGTCTATGCGCGCGTGTTTACTTTTGAACTTTTACGACATTAATTTGCATACGCCGGCGTTTCAACCAATCACAAGAAGCTATTTGACTACTTACCTATTAAACTATTAAGCTACACAGACAATTGAATCTTGGAAATGCGTGTTTACACTGGGACAATGACGCGGGAAGATCTGTTGTCAATCGTCAGCTTATCGTTTGCTAGAGTATTACGGCGGATGGCGGCGCCAGAAGTATAATTCCAACTAATCTACAGGTTTTGTTGACGCTGGCCTTGTTTGATGAACAAGGAATTACAAAGAATTGATAAAAATGAAGTAAATCGGCGCATACTGTCACTTTAATGTCTTTTACCCCTTTTTTACTAGTGTAAAACGAATGCGTGCCTGGCTCCGTTTAAAATTCTTCTGCGCATGTGTAGGGTTTACAACTTCCGTATCGGCGGCCATTATAAATCTACAAATATATAAAATGTCCTCCGACAGAGGTAAAAGGTGGACGACAGAAGAAACGATAGATTTCATCACCTTGTGAGGAGATGAACGAATACAGTCCCAGTTGGACTTGGTATTCATCATAACCACAAGGTGTATGATAATCTCTCGGATCTTCTGGCCGAAAAAGGTTACCCTCGCAGGACTGGTAAACAGTGCCAGGAGAAATAGAAAAAATAAAAAAAAAATATCGAGATATTTTCTGGTTTTATTGAACATAATACCCAGAATCAATCGAAAATTATTGTTATTGTCCGCCATTTTGACTCTCCGTGGACCTTTTGTAATCTTTTTAATTAGAGAGTGTAAACAGACGTTTTGATCGGAGCCAGGCACCGATCCAGGCCAGGCTCTCTTTATCGGGGCCTAGTGTTAAAGGGGTATTTGTGAATTTCAGACAACCCATGGGGCGTTCTGAACCTTGTGCCTAATATGATTAATTATTTTGGATGGAAACCGACAAGTAAGATGTATAGTGAAATGGGAAATCACATTGAAAAGAAGGTCGGTGATGCAGACATCACTTTCAAACAGGTAACTATAGTCAATTGAAGTGGAGTTTTACGTTCTCCATCTTTGTAGATCTTTTTAATTATAACCCAACTCAGCTGGCGAAAAGTGATTCAGATAAACAATCATCATCAGGACAGCTTCTTTAAATGGTGACCTTATAATATTTGACAAACTTGATGAACAGAAGTTAGATTATGGGGTTACATGGCATGACATTTTCAGTTGAAAAACCACAAATGGTTTTAACTGTGTGATTATTGAATGCATTACTGATTTAAACGATGTTAAGATGCCATAATATCCGGCCCATTGTAGCTTAATTTGAGATGTGGAGTGGAATGGTGCAAAGATATGCACCGTTGGTGTCCATGATACACATACATAGGAATGATGAAAATAGAAGCTGTAAGTATCCCTGATATACAACGACTAAAATATCATCATGTTAAATAGAAGCTGTAATTGCTCCTTGATACATAATGCAAAGACCAGAAAATCCAAAAGGTATAAAAAGAAGCCGTATCAGAAAATCAGAATAGTAAAATAGAAACTGTAAGTCTCTGTTATACAAAGATTAGAAAATCGGAATGGTGTGAACGTAAGCTATAAGGTCCGTTTATACTGAGCGCTACTACTACCGCGAACGACTACGCGAACGTTGCGTTCGCATCGAATTGCTTAACCTGATTTTGTATGAGGTCGTTTATACTAGGGGCGAACGCGAATGTGGCCGAATTTCTGGGAGAATTTTTGGGAAAAGATCGCGTGAACTATTTACATTAGCCAATCAGAGTGTGAGGTCAAAGTTCATACCTGTCTGCCAGTTAGCTCTGAGTTCGTTTCATCAGCGAATTTACGCGCATAGCGCCGCTTTCAATACGAACGATGATCCGTGCGGAAGGTCGCGCGAAAAGTCGCAATGGTCGCGTTCGCGGTCGCGGTCGCGCTCAGTATAATTAGGCCTTAAGACTCTGATCCGCATATACAGATTAAAAAAATCATCTTTTGAATGATGACTGCCCAGGTATAAACAGTTGACTTACTAATCATTTATTCTGTTATAAATCTATTTTGTATTTTATTTTATTAGTTATACAAGAAGAAAGGTATAGAGCTGTGTATCTGCGTTACCAACGTCAACAGAATGGATGTCATATTCTGTCACGTGAAGACCACGCCCCATCTTCCAATCAGACGTGCTGTGGTTATGTCGATGTCCATACCAGGTACGTTAATCACCTACCTCCTTTCCCGCCTTTAGGTTCTTTAACTGTAGGCTCTTTTCATCTTTGTGGTCAATTTTTATTTTTTACACCTCAGGTTAAGTCCGATTTGACCAAAATTATGTCCGTTTTACCAGTATTTGTCCGTTTTGACCTCAAGTGAGGCCAGGTTTTATCTATATGGATCTTTAGTTTAGACAAAGTGAGAACAAGTTTTATCTATATGGATATTTAGTTTTGACAAAGTGGGACCAAGTTATATCTTTATAGATTTCTAGTTTGACTAAGTGGGACCAAGTTTTATCTTTATAGATCTATAGTTTTGACAAAGTGAGAACAGGTTTTATCTTTATAGATCTCTAGTTTTGACTAAGTGGGACCAAGTTTTATCTTTATAGATCTATAGTTTTGACAAAGTGAGACCAAGTTATATCTTTATAGATTTCTAGTTTGACTAAGTGGGACCAAGTTTTATCTTTATAGATCTATAGTTTTGACAAAGTGAGAACAGGTTTTATCTTTATAGATCTCTAGTTTTGACTAAGTGGGGCCAAGTTTTATCTTTATAGATCTATAGTTTTGACAAAGTGAGAACAGGTTTTATCTTAATAGATCTCTAGTTTTGACTAAGTGGGACCAAGTTTTATCTTTATAGATCTATAGTTTTGACAAAGTGAGACCAAGTTATATCTTTATAGATTTCTAGCTTGACTAAGTGGGATCAAGTTTTATCTTTATAGATCTATAGTTTTGACAAAGTGAGAACAGGTTTTATCTTAATAGATCTCTAGTTTTGACTAAGTGGGACCAAGTTTTATCTTTATAGATCTCTAGTTTTGACAAAGTGGGTCAAAGTTTTATCTGTATGGATCTTTAGTTTTGACAAAGTGAGAACAAGTTATATCTTTATTGATCTCTAGTTTTGACAAAGTGAGAACAAGTTTTATCTATATAGATCTTTGGTTTTGACAAAGTGAGAACAAGTTTTATCTTTATAGATCTCTAGTTTTGACAAAGTGAGAACAAGTTTTATCTTTATAGATCTTTAGTTTTGAGTTTTGACAAAGTGAGAACAAGTTTTATCTTTATAGATATCTAGTTTTGACAAAGTGAGAACAAGTTTTATCTTAATGGATCACTAGTTTTTACCTCAAGTGAGAACAAGTTTTATCTATATGGATCTTTAGTTTTGACAAAGTGAGACCAAGTTATATCTTTATAGATCTCTAGTTTTGACAAAGTGAGAACAAGTTTTATCTTTATAGATCTTTAGTTTTGACAAAGTGAGAACAAGTTTTATTTTAATAGATCTCTAGTTTTGACAAAGTGGTCAAAGTTTTATCTATATGGATCTTTAGTTTTGACAAAGTGAGAACAAGTTATATCTTTATTGATCTCTAGTTTTGACAAAGTGAGAACAAGTTTTATCTTTATTGATCTTTAGTTTTGACAAAGTGAGAACAAGTTTTATCTATATGGATCTTTAGTTTTGACAAAGTGAGAACAGGTTTTATCTATATGGATCTTTAGTTTTGACAAAGTGAGAACAAGTTTTATCTTTATAGATCTTTAGTTTTGACAAAGTGAGAACAGGTTTTATCTATATGGATCTTTAGTTTTGCAAAGTGAGAACAGGTTTTATCTATATGGATCTTTAGTTTTGACAAAGTGAGAACAAGTTTTATCTTTATGGATCTCCAGTTTGACAACTTTTACAAGTAGAAATTAATGCAACCACTCCCATCTCCCGCAGTGCTTTTCCAAAAACCTCCTCCCCAAAAATGTCTTTCTATCCTTCTAGTTGATTTCAAAGGCAAGCACCCCCACGATACTCCATTCCCAAACTTTTGCTCATGATACCATATTTAGTAATTTTGATATTGTGGTATTCTAGGATATTTCAAAGCGTCTAAAGAGACCTTGTTTGGATCAATGGATGTTTATGTGGACGGTGGTTTGCTGTGCAATTACCCTATACACTGTTTTGATGGTGAGTTAACACTTTAAATCATATTTTCTGATATAAAAAGATTTAGAATAGCAAGAATTAAAACCCCACAAAACATGTTGGGCGTTTAATTTCATAAACGTAATGTAGTACGTTATAGTGGGAGGTCTTTTATTCAATAAACCCAATAAGATACAGAACAGAAACGTTGTTTTTCATTAGACCAATAAGCTACATAACAGTAGAACGATTTATTTCATGAAGTCAACTATTTGTATTTTTTAGGTTGGTATTTATCATTGAAGCCTGATGACAGTTTTCTGACAAAATTTACTCCATTATCCAACCTAACGAATCTGTATGATCCGGCTGTCCGATTTGGAGGCTTTAATGAAAAAACTCTCGGATTTCAATTGGTATGTTGTTTACTACTAGTATCTTCTGAACTAATCTGAAAAATTTGAAATTTCTCATGACCCAGGTTTTTTACACATACTATTTTTGACACCTTTTGATAGATACAAAGAAGTTTGAAATACAAGCGGATAGACACACTCTAGAGAATCTAAAGGTAGTAGCCTTGTAAAATATGGCTATATCCCCAAAGCTTGATACTTCAACTTACCAAGGTTACAGAAATTAAACCACTCTCAACAGGTGCATTGCCGTAGCTAGGGCCTTTTTTCTAGGAGGCAAAAACCTTGTTGTCTTTAAAGATGGGTTCCCTATTTTCATTTATGAAAATGAAAATGCTAATACTTATATGAATAGAAAGAAGAGGTATTCTAATTTGTTTTTGTTTATCCAGACTGTACATACATGGACATTTATGATTGATTAAAACTCTTAAATGTATGCAATAAGAACATAATGATATGATTAAGAATACATGATAATTCATTAGAAACACCAATTACTTTAAAGTCAGTTATTTATTTTATCGCAGGGCTTTCTATGGAAAGGCAAACCAGTCATAATTAAATTCAATGCACTATCAATTCAATTGTTGTTGACCTGTGAGTCGAATTTTTATTCTGGAAAGTAACACGGAAAACTTAGAGCTCTGTTTTCTGGCTACGTAATATTTAGACGACTATATACCTTTTCATCTTAAGGTCCTGAAGTGTTACGAGTCGTTAAATTGAATCTCGGCTTCGGTTCATTTGCATGGACTGGATGTTCCGGACTACCCACAACCCCGAGCCGTTGACTATGGACTCATAGAAAGATGTGAAGTGACCATCCTTGTCGCAGAATTGACAGGAGAGTGAGTCTTCCATGCCTTCATGATGACATCCAATGACAGTTATTGCAGTGCATAAAATGTTATTGATTAGAAATATGTGTTCATCTGGTATTTGTTCAGTACTATAAGCACTTCCACGCTTTTCAAATGTAATGATAATGGACTATCCACATCGTTTATTCCATAGCTTAGTAATTGATACTGAAAAATACATGTACACAAAATAACTAACTATTAAATTTAACGTTACATTCCATGTCATAAAAAACAAGGGTTATTGCAAGTTAAAATACAACAGCCGAGAGGTTATTACGGTGGTTCATATACGACATCATTTTTTTTTTTTTTTTTTTTTTATTAAAAAACTGGAATATAATTATAAAACATAATTTTGAATTTAAAACTTGTATTTTCACCCGAGTGATAATTCTAGAATATTTTATTAAAAACTTGACTTTCCACCCTGGTGATAATTCTAGAATTTTCAATTAAAAACCTGAATTTCCACCCGGGTGATAATTCTAGAATTTTTAATTGAAAACTTGAATTTCCACCCCGGTGAAAATTGATGAAAATTGATTTTCACCCAGGTGATAATTCTAGAATTTATAATTAAAAACTTGAATTTCCACCCGGGTGATAATTCTAGAATATTTTATTAAAAACTTGAATTTCCACCCGGGTGATAATTCTAGAATTTTTAATTAAAAACTTGAATTTCCACCTAAATTACAGTGCTAATAGAGAATCATTTTCTTCATTTCATTAAAAATTATTTCGATTTTGTTCCATTTCGACATGTAAAAGTAACCAATGTAAACATTCAGAATGTTACATTGTGAGTTACCTGCCCTTGTTTGGGAGTAATAATTTAACTTTTTGATCAATCAAGCAAATATTTTTTGACAGGAAAGTGATGGTCGTAAAAAAGATATGTCAAAAGCGAAATGACTAAAGAGAAGATGAATGGTACATTTGTTACCTGGCAAGTGTAAAACTAAAGTCGTTTCGTGTCATGTCCTTCGTCTTTTTCGAAATGTATAAATACCTAAAGATAAGATGAAATGCCAATTGTTATTTTTATTATGTTTCATCACTACCTTTTTGTGTTCTTTTCATTATTATTTAATAATTAAATCACGATTCCGTTTACACGGTATCACATAATTTGATTGGATAACAGCGGTCAAATGTATCTGTGTAAACGGAATGAAAATATAAGCTCCGCCCCTTAACGGACTACTTTTATCATTGAGTTTGATTGACGTGGCCACTACATGGCGTCGATATCGTTCCTTCGAACGTCAACAGAGCAGAAATCGACACAATATCACGGTAAAGTAAAGGTATTTTCTAAATTCTCTCAAATGTGCACACTCCAAATTCCAACAATATCATGAATTCTGGACTTAGTTAGAACTCGTCTTTGAACAATTGAACTTCCAAATTGGTCGCTCCGTCAACTTTCATGTAGACTATAAATAGGTGACCTAATTATTGCTGATTGGTTGTTCTCTGGGACTTCTCTATTGTTAGTATCAGTTCATTAACGTTATGTTAAAATATTTTGTATTTATGCGCCAATTTAGTGCCTTAAGTTATTGTTATATTACATAAATATTTAAACATGTATTCGAGTTGATTTAATTATAAGGAATTTTTTTATTAGTGCAAAAAGCATGTAACTATTGTCTTAGGAGAATTGACACAAAGCGTCAGCATCTTAGACGATGCATGCGAAAAGTTAATTATGTAAAAATGTAATCTTCACTTGAAACATTTTTCATTGAACATATTACAATTGACTTAAACAAATGCGCATTGAATTTAATTATGAATTTTTTGCCCTACCATAGCTTTGGGTACACTTTAAATGGTAACCACCTGAATTGTAGGCATCAAATAATCAATATATTTATCATATCAATGCTTCGGTCCTCGTCCCAATATCATTGTTAAACACATAGACAAGCTTTCGACCATTAACCTGTACATTTTTATCTTTCAGTACTCTGACAATGAACAAGATTTGATGAAAACGGAGTTAGATAAACGAGTCGGTGTTCTGACTCCTGCTAAACCCAGTCAAGATACCAAGCTATACAGGTGAACGAAATGAAATTAATTTGCGATCTCCGTTGTTAGCTGAATATCCTGCACATTAAATAAAACCTTCACCAAAACATTAGTCGGTATTATTGAACTATGTGACTTAAATTGTTGAAAAATATTGTCTATAACCATTATGGAGGAAACATATTGACGGATAAAAACCAGTTTGATCCCATCCACGATCATTTTACTCGTCAAATAATTGATGTGAACATATATCCTCAATGAAAAACGAATTAACTGGTTATTACGGGGTATTTGAAAGAAACTACGGTGGCTCACATACGACATATTTCACTTTCAATTTTGAATTAAACCTAGGTGAAAATAATTTCCACCTAGGTGATAATTCAACGAATCTTGTAAAGAACGACGAAAAACAGTTTTCACTTCAAAATTCTTAGATTATCACCTTGGTGAAAAAAATTACAGGAATTATCACCTAATTCTCACCTAGGTGAAAATAATTCTCACCTAGGTGAAAATTAAAGTTTAAAGTTCAGCGTATACAAGCGTTTTAGAGAAATAAAATGACGTAAAACTCAATCTCAGTCATCCTCATCCTTTGCCCCCACATATCACACACTTTAATATATTTCTAGAAAACTCGTAGATATAAAGAAGAAAAAGAAACAAGTTGAAAAAATCCATGCATGTGTTATGGGCGCTGTAAACGCTTTTCTTGTGGTAAGCTTTGAAAATCGTAATTTTATTGAGTGCTGGGTGCTAAATTCCAGCGATTCAAATCCATTTATCTTTTTCACAATAAAGTCATATGATCACTCAAACTACCAAAGCCACAGAAGCAACAGAAAAGTGTGTGGAAAATGGAGTGTAACCACGTACGAATTCAAACAAGTGCATATCTCTTTTCTAAGGTAGATAAGCAAAGAAACCGGATTGCTCTGTAGATGTCAGTGACATTCCACTTTTTTGTAGATCGAAAACATTTACTTAAATTTGTGAAAACTATACACCAATATTTAGTTTTAACTTTAAAAAAATCCGCCCGTTAATTTTTTAACGCCAAAACTAAAACAGTTTACGTATACGTTTAAGGTTCGTTATGCTTTTTTCTTCTCTAATCATGCTATAGACGTTAAACTCCGTTTCATTTACTTTCGTTTTATATTTTCAGACTATAGACAAGCACAATATTGCTGATAAAGCCAGTCTGGACCTTGGTGAACTAAAACTAGTATTTGAAGACGTAAGTTATATGTTTCTATACTGAAATGATGTTACCTTTTTGTTTTGAAATTTGTTTCTATATACCATATACGCTTTTTGTACGACTATTAATTGATTTTCCATGCTATATGGTGCGTGTCGTTATCATCATCAGTGTGATGATACGGCGTGAGAATAGTATTTTAATAGATTTATTGCAATCAAAAACAGTAGAAATTTGTTGATTTTCAATCTATAGTGACACAATACATCAAATGGATTTATAAGATCAATACTTGACAATAAGAATTAGCGCTGTTACGGATAGCAACAGAACGGAAAACTTAATTGGATTTCAAGGTTTTCCTAAAGAAAAATAAAGAATAACAAAGTTAGAGAAAAGTGGATTTTTTATTGATATATTATAGTTGATTATGCAAGCTTTTACTCCCAACGTATGAAGCATTTGTCGAATAGTCGATAGTTCAGCATATACAAGCGTTTTAGAGAAAAAAAAGTTTTGTATTATTTTTTATTTTGTTATGATGTTGCCATTTTGTTGTCAAATTTGTTTATATATACCATAATATACAGTATATTCTTTTGTATAACTGTTAATTGATGCCCAGCCACTGTGTTATATTTGTTGTCATATATTATTTTGTGTTATCTTGTATCGCCCGATGCAACTGGTATCTATTGAAATGAGACCCCCTCCCCAAGATATGTAGTTAGTTATCGATTTGACATCAGCAAATTTTGCTTTGTGCTATTTGACTAGTACACTGTGCATTCGGGCTTTTAATCTCATCCTAATAATGTCATGTGTCTTCAGAAAGAAAGTTTTACTGATAAACATTGTGAGATACTGTTTGGGGAGGTGATTTCAGCCGAGGAGGCGTTCGAGTCGCTGGATAAAGATGAGGATGGACAGGTACGTGTTATGCCCAGGGATTTGCCATGGTTTAGACTTTTTGTGTTTGGAACACATAGACTTAGACTAACGGTCAACATAGACTTAGACTAACGATCAACATAGACTTAGACTGACCTTCAACATAGACTTAGACTAATGGTCAACATAGACTTAGACTAACGGTCAACATAGACTTAGACTAATGGTCAACATAGACTTAGACTAATGGTCAACATAGACTTAGACTAACGGTCAACACAGACTTAGACTAAAGGTCAACATAGACTTAGACTAACGGTCAACATAGACTAAGAATGATTGTCATCATGGACAGATTCATACTGACTGTAAACAAAGACCAAGACTGACTGTACACATGGACTAAGACTAACTGTAAACATATTAGCTATTTGGGCTCTCCAGAAGTATTTGATCGTTGATGAATGTATATTCCATTTTAATAGCAATGTGGATTAACCTGAAGTGTTTGGAATGCATATCTGAATGGTTATTCGGGCTCTCCCGTAGTGTTTAATAGTTGACGAATTCCTTTAGGCCTACCAAGTTATTTGTTATATCGATTCCCCTAAAGTGTTGCCGTGTTGGCAATGCCAATGGAAAAGAGATATGTTGCTGATTTGTGTATTCATTTTCGAGATTTTGTCCTTGTCTATTTTAGGTAGATTTCCGTGAGCTTATGGAATTTATCCAGAGAACTGGAATTTGTATGTTGGATACCTTCCAAGGTTACAGTCGTCAAGAAATCTCCGGTTTTTCTTCCTTCGTTGAACGTGTTCAAAATACCATTTTACTCAATTTAAAACGTGTCCATGCAAACGTAAGTATATACTTGCTAGATTTGGTGGTTTAATCCATTAAGTCATCGAATCCATCAGTAGATCAGACTATACAGGACACCTGCAGTAGCAGAAAGAGTTGGTAAAAAAAAAAGTTTGTAACAACAATGTACCGTACCTCATTTCATTTTTAAGATATTTCAAAATATGATTTCTCGACAATTTTTGCTCAGAAATATGTATCAGAAAGAACCAAATCAAGTGTTACATTTTCAAAATCTTTCGGGAGAACGTTTACGTTCAACAGTGCTTCCAAGTCTGTAATCTCAACACCAGCTATCCACTAAACATCAACTGATGAAAATGGATGACATGAGGATTCATATATTTTGCAGCATGGAGATTATCAACGAACTGTAGGAATCAACACTGGACATATAGAAAGTGTAGATTTCGGTAATATGGTTTTTGCCGATAAGAAATTTGTCGAAGAGGTACAAGTATTTTTTTATATAAAAAATTTGTGACGCTTTGGTGCACAAAGAAATCAAATATCTTTTTTGACATTTACATGATCAGTACATGTTCTGCATGTTTAATATCCCTTAACAACTCAAAAAGAATATTTACTTCATTGCACACTGCGTCGTTGCCCATCGTAATTACTAATAAATGAAAACGAAACCTGCCATAAACCTCAAATTCTTTTCAACAAATGTATTAAAACGCTTGGACATCTACTGCTAATGTATGTACTATACTATATTAAGACGCCAAGGATGCTACTGTTTGTGCTTCTTAGGGGGTCCCCTAATGAATGTTGCTTAATTTGTTTCAGAGGGGTTATAACGCCGTGAAAGCTTTCCTTCAATATCACGTGATCAATAAAGTGATGGTCCCGGAAGTAGAACCACGCAGAAACTAGGCTACAAACCGGACAAACCAGAACTTGAGAATTAACAGAGAATTAAAAACGGAAGTATAATAGACCTACCATAAAACCTGAAGTTGATATATACAGCACTCTTTTCCTTTTAACCATGTGTTATAACTATTTCAAAATGGACACGTCCTGTGACCATAATTATTATGTACGCATGTATTATATATTCAGACGTATAAAATTTTAAAGTGATACTACGTCTTAGAATGAACATAAAATTGAAGAATTTTAAACTTGGCCAATACTCCTTTCTCAAAACGTATGCATATCTCCGCCCACTTACTTCACAACGAGGCTAACGTATGCATATCTCCGCCCACTGACTTCAGAGCGAGGCTAAGTGGGCAACGTGTTCAGCTGTAAACAAACATGGCCGACGCCACGTTAACGAAGCTGTGAAAAGAAGAGCTTGATGACATTGCTTGGTCACTTTTATAATGGTTTTCGATTGTTAACGACTAAAAAATTGTCAGGACGAATGGTCAAGCTTCAACTAGTTCAAGTTTCAGCCAGGTAAGTCAGTCTGTGAGTAGAGCCTACTCTGAGTCATTAAAAGTAAAAGATGACTGAGTTACTAGCCTAACCAACTCTCCTACAGCTGCGATTTGTTAAAGGATATTTCGTGATTGGAAGGTAAGTGTAATCCTCTTGATTCAGTACAGTAGCCTACAGTGTAGGTAGAGTAGATAGAAGTAGGCCTGGATTGTCAACAACAAATCATTTATCAGTCTTAGTAGGGTAGGTCTGTCTTACTTATCCTCTTGGGCTTGGTCCCTTCTTTGTGTCTTTTCTTAGCCATGGCACAGGCCTATTGCAGCTATGTTAGTTCATTACTAGCCTAGACAACTTAATAGTTTTCTTTAATTATCTTCAATCTACATAAGTAATTTCCTAAATACAACATCACACAGCCCCACCCCTGTCCAACAGACAAGTGCCCTACTGCATTTGGGCCAATTTGTCATAATTTTATACTTAAATAGCACCAGCAGGCTGTTTACACATACTGACATAGGCCTACGTGTGCTCGTTTTAACATATTACTGATGGCACAATAGTTTGCTCACATGATTTCCAATTGATTGCAGTGGACCAAATTGAAAAGATCTATACAATCCAAAACTAACTGGGGTAACCCATTAATGTAAGAAGTTTGCCCAGAAGATGTACTGGAGAAGATAAATATGTAGATGAATCAACTGATGTTTGATGATATCAACAAGGAACAACTCCTAAGGTGAGCCTTATTTGTCTTTTGTTTATTGGTAACATCATTTTTTAGAGATAAACCAAATAAGCATAGAAGTATGCCCTGCCCTAAAAGGGTAACTTTTTAGCGAAGCTCAAATTCAATTTAAGGGTTTGTAATCCATTGCCATTGCAATATTTAAAAATATTTCATATCCAATTTGTATTTGCGAATCGTATTCAAATTGAATAATTGAAATAATCAGGGCTAATATATGATTTTTATCTGTTTATGTTTTATAGGACAAGACAAATGAAGAGCATGAGGACGAAAATGAGAATCTCCAGGATCAAGTGACAGAAAAAAAGGACTTTATTCGTAATATATACATGTACTATCAATTTTGTCTTCTATTTCATTCCATATTATTCAAATTATAAATATAAGTTACAGCATATTGCATTATGAATTGATAAAAATGTGTCATTCACATTTTATTTCTCAACTGGTGATCGCCAAGGTGTCGGAGGTCACTTTAAACATACTGAATCGTATCTGCCCTTTTACAACCTTGATACAGTTGAGAGAACCTCATTTAGTAAGCTTTTAAAGCTTGTTTCCAAAACCATATGTTTATGTATATGTATGTAATATTTGGAATTCTTGAATATATATTGTTTAAAAAAACATATGCATATGGCAGACGTTAGGTACTCGTGGTCGAAAGGAAATAATCATCAACTATTTGCAGTCTGTAGTAACAATGCAAGTTGATTTACACTGGATTAAAGAGTATTAAAATTTAATAAAAATTGGTTTAAAAACTCTAAATTCTAGGGCGTTCACGGGTAAAATGTGAGCGTATGACGTAAAAAATTTTATTTTCAATATCAAATAGTTTGTAACAAGGAGTAAAGACAATTTCAAAAGAAAATGAAATGAATGGAGTTTATGCTTGATCTGTTATCAATGTTGTATAACACGCTTAACACCTATTAATCAACTTCACACTATTATTATTCAAAAATAAAACCAGAAACTTTAGATTTTTTAAAAATTTAATCAAAATTAATTAATTGAATTTTAATAGCAAACCACCCATGTCACATAGAGAAAATTAAGTACATCCTTATTATGAAAACCATATTGATGTTGGGTAAATACTTTTGATGTAAGGATCAGAGTTGAAAATTTTCTTTTCTTTTTTTCAAAAAATATTCATTCATTATTGTAATATATCATCAAAAAGAGAATGATAAGGCCATTAATAATATGCAAAAATCAAGCTCTGTGCTTGTTAGAGAATGTATCAAAGCTGTCCAAATAACACCATATCTATAGTATCACCCCAGAAAATGCCCAAGCAGGGCCTTGAAGGTGACAATACGTGTCCATTTACACGCTGTTTTGAAATAATGATAACCAAATGAATAGGAAATAGGTATGTACGTAGCAAAGTCAAGGGTAGGGAAAGAGATTGACTCGAGATCTTTGAGAATCGAAGATGATGTAGCAAGTAAATCCAACTTGAAGTTTATATCAGCATCCTGTCATGTGGTTCCCTACTTCCGGTTTTGAGTCTCTGCGTATTTCTACATCTGGGATCATATCTTTAATGATCACGTGATATTGCAGGAAAGCTTTTGTGGCGTTATAACCCCTCTGAAATAATTTAAAAAAGAAACATTCATTACAGGTTCGACTAACAAGGGGAAACAAGCGCAAACAGTATCCTGGTCATTCTTGATTGTTCTTTGCCCTAAATATGTAGGATAACACAAACGTGACGTGACGTGTCACTTACAGGATTGTGCTGTACAAAGGGACACAATCCAAGAATGAACAGCAGTATTTTTTGCCGCCTGGATGGGAATATAATGTGTACAATAGCAGTTGTCCAAGCGTTTAATATATTTTCTTTTATTTTTGTGCACCAAAGCGTCATATTTATATTTGATGTAAAAAAAAAATACTTGTACCTCTTCAATAAATTTCTTATCGGCATAAACCATATTATCGAAATCTACAGTTTCTATATGTCCAGTGTTGATTCCTACAGTTCGTTGATAATCTCCATGCTGCAAAATATATAAATATAATGTCACTCTTTTACAAGACCTGATGTCTAGTTGCGACGCCTGCCATCTGGAAGTGGACGTAGAAATGGGCAGCAGAAAATACGTAATTTTCATACATGGAAATAATACTGTAATAATAGTTTGGTATTTGGGCAGACTGACTCACTTGCATGACAAATGTTCCAAATCTATAAGCACTGGAGAAGTACCATAGACACTACCCTCGCTCATAAATTTGGCTTAATGTATCACCAAATCTAACAAGTATATACTCACGTTTGCATGGACGCGTTTTAAATTGAGTAAAATGGTATTTTGAACTCGTTCAACGAAGGAAGAAAAACCGGAGATTTCTTGACGACTGTAACCTTGGAAGGTATCCAACATACAAATTCCAGTTCTCTGGATAAATTCCATAAGTTCGTCGAAATCTACCTAAATTATAGATCGACAAAATATCGAAATTGAATTTTAGAATCGGTAACAAATGTAACATTACTGAACCAAAAGTCAAAATAAAGCAATAAATGCATAAGTAAGTGTGATCATCTACAGACTATATTCAGTGTCACCCAAGAAGAAATAAACGATTCATGACCGAGACATTTTCAGCTTTACCGAAACTGCCGAGGATGTCGATTGCTCAGCAAGACAGTGTTATAGCTATCAAAAAGATAGCTTGCCAGGCAAGGTAATAATACGCCCCCTGACCGCTTTGATTTTAATTAAAAAAAATATTTGGCAGTATAGTAACAATTACCAGTATGAAACTCTTTTGGGGCGATACTATATAATATTACCAAGTTTCATCAAAATCTGTGAAGAACTGGGCCTTCTAGAGTGTTTACAGGCTAAAACATGGACGCATTTTCAAGAACAAGCGCAATAACTCAAACTATATTTCGATTTTTCTGATTTTCGAAAGGGTTCATCCTTAGTTGATAACAAACACTCACACCAAGTTTCGTCCAAATCCATCAAGAATTGTGCCTTTTAGAGTGCTTATGGGTCATAAATTGAACGCGCTTTCAAGAACAGGGGCTCATACTAAATATTTTCGATTTTTCAATAGGGTTCATCCTTGGGTGAGTACAATCATTCATAACAAGTTTCGTCAAAATCTGTCTAGAGCAATAGAGCATTTCATGTGGGCGTATAACAATACATAATTATTTCATCAGATTATTGATGGCAACGGGACATCTAAATCCAGATTGAATATATTGGCTGTCATCGTAAACTTTTGTAAAAAATATATGGAATACGACCTTACCACCACACTGTGCTCCCAAAACCCAAACGTCTAAACCGTGGCAGATCCCTGGTCGTAACACTTACCTGTCCGTCCTCGTCTTTATCCAGAGAATCGAACGCCTCCTCGGCTGAAATCACCTCCCCAAACAGTATCTCACAATGTTTATCAGTAAAACTTTCTTTCTGAAATTTATGAAAAGAGGAATGACACCATTAGAATGGATGGGACGCAAGCTGCACAGTGGCATCGGGTGTCACAAGGATGTCACAAAGAGTAAGTGTAACCCGTTGCACTTGTGAGAAAGCAAAGCAAAGCAAAATTTGCTGTAGTCAAATAGATTAGTGCTAAATTTTTCTAAAGGGGGGAGGGTGTGGCTCATTTCAATATGGAAACATAACTTACGTCTTCAAAAACTAGTTTTAGTTCACCAAGGTCCAGGCTGGCTTTATCAGCAATATTGTGCTTGTCGATAGTCTGAAAATATTTTTTAAAAAGTGAATGAATCGGTTTTTTACATCTTTCCTTTGTGTCACTGATTAGGGCTGAAGACTGGCAACGTCGTGAAGTAGGTAATGCCAGCCAACGTCTAATTCTAAACCAGAGAACCACCACGTCTCCGTAATATATCGATAAAGAAACAGTTTGAATCAGGAAGAGGCCTAAAGCTCTCAATATCTTAATATCCACAGAGCTATCCAATGTTTGTGCTTATCTCGCCGTCCGATAAGAAGTCGACAAGTTTAACACTCGATTTCTCATGTGATTTTCAGTTTAGCACTCAGGGTGAGTTGGGGTTTTTATGAATGCCCTCGTTAGTCTAGGATACCCCATTCCCCAAAAAACCACCACAAAACTACGATTTTCAAAGCTTACCACAAGAAAAGCGTTCACAGCGTCCATAACACATGCATGGATTTTTTCTATTTTTTTCTGCTTCTTCTTCATATCTACACGTTTTCTAGAAATATAATATGTGCATGTGAGGGCAAGAAAAAAAGTGAGTCAAATGAAGTTTATCATCATACCTTTTTGCTAAGCCATTGAGCGGGTAAACAAAGACAGGCGATGGCGTTTACTGCACAGTGATATGATTCTACTCATTTCAGAGTTCGAATTGTCGAGGTATTTGTTATGTAGCCCATACACATTCAATAAAGCCATCAATATCATTGATTCAATATACTGACATCAATACTAATGAAAGAAAATGCCCACACGATTCCACATTTTCGTCTTTAATGCGGTTATTACTTTGGTGATTGATCAAATCGGATACTACTATTACTGTTTCGCTAATCATGGCACATGGGCAAGAACCGCCCGAAAAACGTATGAAATGGTCTAGTGTGGTACCTGAATGCCTTTTAAGTGTAAGACCGAGTCACTGATAACATTGTAATATATAATAAAACAACATATTCTTTTTACAATAGAGTAAATTGTAATATATAATATAATAACCAGCTCTACTGATAACAGTTAAACGTGTAAGCAAATAATTCTCTAAAAGTCTTCAGTAAAGATATGTTACAGAAAGAATTCCATTGTAGATGTATTTAAATGTCTTTATTTTCTTTTTCGGAAAACCGTGAATACTAATACTAATGTTCTCATCTGTTGCTATCCATAACAGCACTAATTCTTATTGATTCTGCCAAGTATTGATCTTATTGTGAATCTATTGGATGTATGATGTCACTTTAGAATTATGTCAACAAGATTCTACTGAATGTATCAAAATCCATTAAAATCCAATCCTCAAGCCGCATACGCCAACTGATGTTGATGAAGATAATGATAAATTGTCTTACTTTATCCATTACTGGTGGTATTGAAAGGGGCAACAAAGAGTGTCATGCCTGCATTATTGTAGTCCTATTGGTCTAGCTGCATTTACACTGTCATAATCCAGTGGGTTTCTTAAGCTTGATGAAATTTCGTGGTTCACCTTCTGGTGAATCGATCTTTTTCCGCTCAATAGTGGGTAGGGTAGGACAGTCTAATGAATTGTCGTCAAACTTGCATGATTAGATGTAGACTTGTCTTGCTTTAATTTGATATCTGATTTGTTAACCCTAAATCGAGTGCGTAAATTATTTTTCGTTTCTTCTACATATTGTTTTAAAAATTTCTTACATGAAATCCAGCACTTTATATTCAGGTATTTTGAATTTTTTGAATCTGCTTGACTAACATGAAGCACTGCTTAGCCCCGGTTGCATTTGCGAATAAAATCTGTTGTAAGGTACTTTATCCGCTATAGTGGAATACTTTATGTTTCGTAAAATTCGTTTAACGTTCTTTTAGTTTTGAGAAAACAACCGTGCTAACTTGGTTAGAAACATATATATGAGTCAATATATTAAGTCAATGATATTGATGGTGTGTGATCCCCAGCTAGCAATGGACAATATTACAACCAAATATATTGGCTCTTTCACTTCATTCATTTCATTCACCTGTACAGCTTGGTATCTTGACTGGGCTTAGCAGGAGTCAGAACACCGACTCGTTTATCTAACTCCGTTTTCATCAAATCTTGTTCATAGTCAGAGTACTGAAAGATGAAGATAACAGAGCTATAAACGACGGTACCTAGTTGATATTGTGGTAAGAGAGGTCATGCATCAATTCGCGTGTACAATTTGTGCAACCATGACATTAAAGATTTGGGGATACATCTTTATATTTACATTGCTACTTTATATTCTTAAGAGTTCTGTCTATCCGCTAGTATTTCAAGTTACTTGGCGTAGTATTTGCCACCCTTGGGAGTTATCACTTCTTCAAATTAGTCTAGAACATACTAATAGCAAACATACCACTTGAAACCCAAGAGTTTTTTCATTAAAGCCTCCAAATCGGATAGCCTGGTCGTACAGCTTTGTTAAGTTGGATAACGGAGTAAATTTTGTCAGAAAACTGTCATCAGGCTTCAATGATAAATACCAACCTAAAAAATACAAATATTTTAATGGGTCAATCGTTCTACTCTTCTGTAGCTTTTTGGATTAATTCGATACAGCTTCTACTGATCTGTGCATTAATTGGATTATGATTAAAACTTGTAATGTCTGTACCTAATTGGGTTGAGGAAATGGATTTTCTACTGTCAGAAATATGATTTAAAGTGTTAACTCACCATCAAAACAGTGTATAGGGTAATTGCACAGCAAACCACCGTCAACATAAACATCCATTGATCCAAACAAGGTCTCTTTAGACGCTTGGAAATATCCTAGAATATCAAATTTATAAAACATGTTCCCTTGGGCAAAAGTTTGGGAAGGATTATCATGGTGATACTTGTCTTTGAAATCAACTGGGAGAATGAAGTTTTAAGGGAGAGGGTTTTCGGGATAAGTACTGTAGGAGTTGATTATAGTCGCATAAATTTCTACTTTGAGGTCAAAACAAATGGTCTATAATGATATAATTTGGTCTCACTTGAGGTCAAAACAAATCGTATATAATGATATAATTTGGTCTCACTTGAAGTCAAAACAAATCGTATATAATGGTATATTTGGTCTCACTTGAGGTCAAGACAATTCGTCTATAATGATATAATTTGGTCTCATTTAAGGTCAAGACAAATCGTCTATAATGATATAAATTGGTCTCACTTGAGGTCAAAACAAATCGTCTATAATGATATAATTTGGTCTCACTTTAGGTCAAAACAAATCGTCTATAATGATATAATTGGGTCTCACTTGAGGTCAAAACAAATCGTGTATAATGATATAATTTGGTCTCACTTAAGATCAAAACAAATCGTCTATAATGATATAATTTGGTCTCACTTGAGGTCAAAACAAATGGTCTATAATGATATAATTTGGTCTCACTTTAGATCAAAACAAATCGTCTATAATGATATAATTTGGTCTCACTTGAGGTCAAAACAAATCGTCTATAATGATATAATTTGGTCTCACTTGAGGTCAAAACATTCGTCTATAATGATATAATTTGGTCTCACTTTAGATCAAAACAAATCGTCTATAATGATATAATTTGGTCTCACTTGAGGTCAAAACAAATCGTCTATAATGATATAATTTGGTCTCACATTAGGTCAAAACAAATCGTCTATAATGATATAATTTGGTCTCACTTTCACTTGAGGTCAAAACAAATCGTCTATAATGATATAATTTGGTCTCACTTTAGATCAAAACAAATCGTCTATAATGATATAATTTGGCCTCAAAACTACTGATATATGAAGATAAAACTTGATCTCACTGATGGTAAAAACGAACGTAATTTGTGGTTAAAACGGACATAACCTGAGGTGTAACGGGCCCATTAGTTAATATTGAAACAAAAAGATGAAATGGAACTACAGTTGTAGGCCGTAAAGGCTTGAAAGGTAGGAGATTAACTTACCTGGTATGGACATGGACATACACACAGCACGTCTGATTGACAGATGGGGCGTGGTTTTTGCGTGACAGAATATGACATCCATTCTGTTGACGTTGGTAACGCAGATACACAGCTCTATACCTTTCTTCTTGTATAACTAATAAAATAAAATACAAAATAGATTTATAACAGAATAAATGATTAGTAAGTCAACTGTACCTGGGCAAGCATCATATTAAAGAAATTCTATATGTGATTAATATAACACATTCTAGTAAATTTTCAGCATTCCGATTTTCAAGTATGTGTAAAAGACACTTATAGCTTCTATTTACACTATTCTGATTTTCTAGTCTTTATATGTGTATCAGAGACACTTATAGCTTCTATTTACATCATTCTGCTTTTCTAGTCTTTATATGTGTATCAGAGACACTTATAGCTTCTGTTTACACCATTCTGATTTTCAAGTATTTATTTGTGTACCAGACACTAATAGCTTATTTTAATGTTTATCTGAATCACGTGTCGTCAGCTGAGTTGGACTCTAATTAGAACGTAAAACTCTACTTCAATTCACTATAGTTACCTGTTTGAAAGTGATGTCTGCATCACCGACCTTCTTTTCAATGTGTTTTCCCATTTCACTATAAACCTTACTTGTCGGCTTCCATCCAAAATGATTTACCATATTAGGCACAAGGCTTAGAACGCCCCATGGATTGTCTGAAAATCACAAAGACATAAAGTGACACTATGCGCCGATTTACTTCATTTTTGTCAATTCTTTGTTATGTTCATCAAACAAGGCCAACGTCAACGAAACTTATAGATCTGTGTCCAATGAGAACAGAGATTATTTTGGCACTGAAATTAACTATAGACCAAAATCTTGAGATATGCGCCCCTTAAAAGTTGTGACTAAAAAATTCTGCCAAACTGTCTTGTGTTGGAAAACTACTATACAGATTTGTAAATGAATGTGTATCCCAGCGTTTTCTGAAACGAAATGAAATGAATGGAGTTTTACGGCCTACTTTTCTGCACCATGTGAGCTAATGAAGACGGGCAACGCCATGCAGAGTGCGATGAGGGAAATTTTGCCAGGACAGCGGCATTAGCCTGCTCTTTTTCCATTTCCAACTGTCGAGGGATCTTTAACGTGCACAGCCTGTAGCACACGGGGCCTCGGTTTATTGTCCCATCCGAACGACTAGACGCTTTTTCCATGTCAGTTCCTCTTACCTGCATCACTGACAGGGGGAAACCGGGTTGAAAAATCCGAAGGTATTATCTCGACCTATGTCGGGATTGAAACCTGGACCTTCAGGTTAGCGAGCAAGCGTCTAACTCAATGAGCCACCGCGGCTCCCCAAACGTATTCTGAAGGTTTCAGCTAAAATTATATACATGCCATGGGTTGGCTGAAACTGACAAAGACATAAAAGTGGCAAAAATTAAAATAAAAATGGGCGCATGCCTAGATTTACTATCTTATATTTTAACGTATCTATGTAATAGTCCAAAAGAAGAGGTAAAAGGCTTGATTCATCGTACCTTGATCTCAGAAACGGGAATTGTTCAGCTAAGTAATCGGTAATGTGTATCCAAAAAACGACTCGCTACTTCCAAGATTTTCTATTTTGAAGGTCAATAAGACAGAAGCCTCAATCATCTAGTCAACCTTCGTCTACGCAAAGCTACGACGAAATATGTCTGGGTATCAGAGATATATAAACAAGACGTTCAACAAAAATGGTGAAACGATGAAATTTAAGACTAGATGTTACAGTGGAAAACTCTGTTTTTATATGCCCACATGAATATGTGGTCATATATTGTCGTTGCCCCTGTCCGTCGGTCCGTCCGTCTCAACATTTCTTGTGGGCACAATAGAGACTACAGTTTTCATTTAATTGTAATGAAACTTGGTGTGAGCATTAGGATTCATAAGACGGTGGTCAAGTTCGAATTTGATGATTGTACCATGAAATGTTTTTGAGTTATTGCCCTTGACTTAGTAAAATCGCGTCAAAATGTTGTTGTGGCCACAATAGAAGCTTCAATTTTCAATGGATTTTGATGAAACTTGGCGTGAGCATTGGGATTGATAAGACAGCGGTCAAGTTCGAATTTGACGATTCAACGAACATTCGTTGAGTTATTACCCCTGACTTAGTAAAACACATCAAAGTTGACTTGTAAACACGATGGGGGCTACAGTTTTTATATGATCTTGATGAAACTTGGTATGCAGGTATATATTAATGAGAGTAAATTTGTCTATGTTAGTTAGTTGGTGTGAATTTAATGATAACTGACCCTAAACTGATGGGATATTCAGGTTTTTTGAACTACAAATGCATAATGAAGATCTTCAATATGAGAAATTTGGCATTACATGTATTATGAAGATCTTTAATGTATTTTTGGTCAATCATCTCTGACAGTGCGTGTATGTTACCTTGCCTGGCAAGCTATCTTTAGTTATCATGACATTTTTCCAAACAAGGCTTTCTTCAGCCAGGCCACGCTGTGCTTGTTTGCGTCTATTGAATACTATACCACATTTTAAGAAGAGCTCGAAGAGGTGATAGCGTATGATATAGACGCCAAAGGAATCGACAAAATAATTTACCATTTAATACTGATGATATGTATTTTGGTTCCAGAAATTTGGAGATGTCTTCGCTTCCATACCCCACGGCGAGATAGCAGGCGCACATTGCCCCTGAACTACTTCCAGCAAACCTCTTGATTTTCCTCAACATTCCAATTTTTTCCATATACTACAAAAATAGAAAACCTTCAACACAACTAGGACTCTTTGTTCTGGCATATATGCCAATATGAAACACTGTACAACGCTGTATGGTGTTGACTGATCTATGTAAAATAAATTAAATGAAATGAATGGAGTTTTACGTCCTACTTTTCTGCACCACGTGGGCTAATGAAGACGGACAACGCCATGCAGGGTGCAATGAGTGAAATTTTGCCAGGACAACGGCATTAGCCAGCTCTTTTTCGATTTTTTTCTGTCGAGGGATCTCTTACATGCACAGCCTGTAGCACACGGGGCCTCGGTTTATTGTCCCATCCGTACCGCTATACACTTTTTCCATGTCAGCCCCTCTTACCTGCATCATTGACAGGGGGAAACCAGGTTGAAAAATCCGAAGGTATTATCTCGGCCTATGCCGGGATTGAAACCTGGACCTTCAGGTTAGCGAGCAAGCGTCTAACTCACTGAGCCATGTAAAATAAGATCAAAATTTCGTTTCATTATTATTTATTCTGTCTGTCTCTATTGTACAAGACCAATGAAAAATAATAACAAAAAGTATCCAACAGTTCCAGACCGCTTATTCCAATTTCTGGATGAAGTTATTATTCCATCCTAGGCCTCCATTTCTTTTCTGAGTTGACAGAAATGGATATTAAATAAACATTATTACGTTATCAGCTACCTAACTGAAAGAAATGACGAGTTGACAAACCGCTTTAGGACATAAATATGCGAACTCTCTGAAAGGTGGTTAGGCAAACAGTAATAGCAAACGTCTAACAATAACTTACCCTTAAAGCCCCCACGTATGCGGCACCCTTACTTCCACCGCCCTCAAAAACCAAGTTTTCAAAAGAAAAGTTATAATCCTTGGGGTCAATCTTCATTGCTTCCAAATCTTTTGGGGATAAAGACTGGCATTCTTCAACGACAGGGACACTGCTAAGAGAATTCTGGCTTTCGATTAGAGTCATTCGTCTTTGCATATCCTGTTCAGTCTTTGAAGGTTGTACACTTGCTCCATTTCCCATGTTAGTTCCTAAAATGGAAAAAAATGACTCAAACCTTTGAAGTAGGCTATTTATGATTGCGGGATGCGGGGTAACAAGTTGAAAACAATGACATCGGGCGTTTGGAATTATGTGCATGACCATGGCATTTTGTGTCTCGGGTATCTATTTAGCAATGGTGTACGATGTTTATGACATCTTTGCTTTCACATCACGATATTCTCGTCATTATTTTTTTTTTGACAGAATTTCCTTTTTATACGACCACATTTTAATGTATATTGTCGTCGCCCCTGTCCGTCCGTCAGTCCGTCCGTCCGTCGGTCCGTCGGTCCGTCCGTCCACAATTGGCATGTGAACGCAATTGAGACAACAGTTTTTAGCTGATTTGAATGAAATTTGGTGTGAACATTTGTATTAATGAGATCTTGACTATCTTTCGATGAACGGTTTTTGAGTTATTGCCCTTGACTTATGAAAAACGCGTCAAAATTTGGTTGTGAAAACAATAGAGACTACAATTTTCATCCAATTTAAATGAAATTTGGTGTGAATATTTATAATGATGAGATCTTGGACAATTTCGAATTTGGCTATCTTTCGATAATTGTTTTTGATTTATTGCCCTTGACTTATGAAAAACACGTCAAAATTTGTTTGTGAACACAATAAAGACTACAGTTTTCATCCGATTTAAAGCTTAGACAAGTTCGAATTTGACGATCTTTCGAAAAACGTTTTTGAGTTAAAACGCATCAAAATTTGTTGGCGATACAGGTGACAGTTTATGTCAGAATTTTATTAAATAATATGTGTTTGTATAAATCAACAATATCTTGCATCAATTAGATTTTTGGTATGATTTGACACAGATAGGTGACTGTCCTTGATATACTGAAAATGTATCAGGAAAGTTGGTGTATCTTGCTAGCCAACCACTTGTTTTTTCTTGCAATCGAACGTCCATATCGAGAATTGGTCGAATTCATATTAATTACAGTATAAGGTGTAAATAGACAATGTTCTCGGTGTCCTTGCGGGATTGTATCAATAAATCCTCGTCGAACGCTCATCAGACATCGTACTTTGTCTATTCTCAACTTTACACAAGAATTTATTCTAGATTTACCTTATACACGGCCACAGAATATACAAATACTGATCGAAAGTCCGACAAAAAATCTTTGAATCCTTTACTTGTGCAACAGCGACCACAGTTTTTAAAAGCAGAACGTATACTTGAAAGTATGTTCTATCCACTGGTAAAGCGGAAAAATAAAGTACTATACATCTACAATACCTGCGCAGTATTCAATAGTATATCTCTATAAAGAGATTTTTGAAAAGTCCCGAACAAATCATTTTTATTATAATCTATAGAAAAAGCGGCACCTCTCTGATTGTATATGACTGGAATTTGCTTAATTTTGACTTTGCAAATAAAACAGTGTCGTCAGCAAATATGAGTATGTATAAATGATAACTGTTGAATCTGAATATATTCGAAGAAAAACCAGTGTCGTAAAGTCGTTTAGTTTTGATATCACACACGAATAACAACGGCGACAACGGTACACCTTGTTTTACTCCCTGTTAACTGTTGAAGAAATTTTTACATATGGATAAATTGATCGAATGATTCTTACTGTTTTTGTACCAATTGCGATTTCGGTTAATTTGTATAAGAGAGGCCATCTTTCGATGTTTTCTGAGCACTTTTTTCCAGGGTCAATGAAGGCATATATTTATTTATTATGTAATAGTTTATGCCATTAAGTATAATATGGTAATAATAATGATAATAATAATGAATAATAATAATGATAATGATAATAATAATGATAATAATATAAAAACTGCATACCTTGAAATAATGAAAGAAACAGTTAAACAGCAGTAGAAAGTTTTAATGAAGATTAGTGCAATGCACAATGTATAAAACCTTCTGAGGCTTCCTTAAACTTTGCGATATCAGCAACGTTAAATTGTCATCTACCAACCAACCAACCTTAAACTAATGGGAAAATCTCATTGATCAAAGACAGTATTTAATCCTAATAGGTTCTTTAATCTGCTAGCCATAATCTTATCAGATTAAGGATCTTCACAACGTGACTGCATGACTACATTACAACAATCTACTAATTATTTGTTGTTTGCCTGTTTCTTAAAATCAATATTATATCATAAATACACCAGCTAAGCTAATCAGGGATAGTGTTCACAATGTCGAAATTTGAGCCTTAAAATTTTAGTGTGTCCAGAATGATCATCGTTTGAATGTTAAAATGACGATACATTTCTTGTAATCCTGAAAACTATTTACATACATTCAAGACCAAAATCAACTCCGGGAATTGGCACACCTGTCCCTTTAAGTGGTCCATGAATAACAGAGCCCTTTATAGTCAACTGTAATCACCAAATTGAGCTTTACGACCTACTTGTCTTGTTTCAACCTTAGTGGGCATCACGGACATTTTGCACCATCGAAATCCATGTGTTTTTTCGTCTTTCTTGAACTCCTCCATATATGGAAAAGACATAATTATATAGGAAAAATGTCTAGTTTGTGATACATATGAAGGGATTATGCCATGGTCGTGCAGTTCTACTTACATATTATACAGTGTAATCTTAATTGCATTGGGACAATACAAATATGTCAGATTACGGAGAGTGTCGGAGTACAGTCTAACTTGGTCTAACGGGAACCGGTATTCAGCACCCCACTGTAATGAGCGGCCACCAAAAATACATCCCGTGCAATTTTCAACCAAATTTACCTCTATACAACACCACCCTCTTGACACGGCCAGCGGTCACCCTTTTCTTAACACTAAACACATGTCACCCTGCAATCAACGGTCATTTGTCGATAATCCTTGATAATCCCATAAATTAAAATCAAGATTAATATACGATTGAACACAAACTGAATATGAGTAAACACCAGCTAAGTATTGATATAAATATTGCACATAAATCATACCGCACATCATTGTGTATTTGAATTCATTCCTTATTCAGTACAAAATGTCTACAATTTTGTGATTTTTAAAAGGCTGTTGCTATTTAGAGTATATAGTTATTTACAGTTCAGTGATTCCGATTCCGATGTGATACGCATATCTTCGACGAATAAGTAGTAGGGTGAATTAAGAAGATAAAAGTGTGTTGGATATGTCAGCATTTAAGGTCATCCACACACTTATTATTAATGTAAGAAATTCATAAAAATCCCATCGACGTCGCTTTGTTTTGATGTGGGACAAGATTGCGGTGTGACGGCAGACTTACCTTGTGTCTTTACAGACGACGATTTGATTGGTTGGATACATTACGACGTCATAACTTGATTGACAGGTCAGGACTATCTATCATTAAAATCAATTTTAGTTAAAATCGACTAAAATCCAATTTTAACTTAAAAAACTAATTTTGAAGAATACCACTTTATTTAAGTTAAAATCCAATTTTAACTAAAATCAATTTTAGTGATTTGAAGTTAAGCCGTCGAGAATAAGACCAGTGGACTTGATGCTTGAAATCTTTGTGATTGACCGAGTGGCTATTGAAATGATTGGTTGTAAATCCAAACCCGTTTTTGTGATGGGGAAACATTAAATACGACAATTCAGTGAATTTGACAATATCTCCGAATTTTAATTCTTTGCACGATAAATCGATAAATATAACATACAGGAATAAAATATAAACTATCCACTCTTGTTTATAAATCTAAAACAGTCTCGGGGAAGATAAACTTTCTGGTAAAGGGGTGCAACTCGTATCTACAAACAAAACAGTCTCGGGGAAGATAAACTTTCTGGTAAAGGGGTGCAACTCGTATCTACAAACGTGTTCAATTCAGCCGGCGACCGTTGAGCTAGACTATATATTAGATAAGGCATTCTGGAGTCAATTATATCGGAGGGAATGGGCCCGATATTGAATATAATATCCCAGGATTTAAAAGAAAAAGATTATTCATATAATTTATATGAAATTCCGTCAGATCAATGGGGATAATGTTACAAGGGATTCTTAAAAATAAGACAATTCAGTTGTAACATTTATTCATTGATACAATAACATTATCACCCCAGAAAATGGCCAAGCATGGCCTTGAAAGTGACAATACGTGTCCATTTACACGCTGTTTTGAAATAATGATAACAATAACCAAATGAATAGGTAGTAGGTATGTGCGTAGCACAGTCAAGAATAGGGAAATAGATTGTATGACTGACTCGAGATCTTTGAGAATCGAAGATGATGTAATAGGAAAATCCAACTGTGATTTAAAAGAAAAAGTTGAAGATTATATCAGCATCCTGTTATGTGGTTTCCTACTTCCGGTTTTGAGTCTCTGTGTGATCTTTATTGATCACGTGATATTGCAGGAAAGCTTTCATGGCGTTATAACCCCTCTGAAACAGATTAAAAAAGAAACATTCATTACAGACTCGACTAACAAGGGGAAACAAGCCAAAACAGTATCCTGGTCATTCTTGATTGTTCTTTGCCCTAAATATGTAGGATAACACAAACGTGACGTGACGTGTCAAGTGCATGATTATACTGTACAAAGGGACAATCCAAGAATGAACAGCAGTATTTTTTGCCGCCTGGATGGGAATATAATGTGTACAATAGCAGTTGTCCAAGCGTTTAATATATTTTCTTTTATTTTTGTGCACCAAAGCGTCATATTTATATTTGAAATAATTTTACCTCTTCAACAAATTTTTGATCGGCATAAACCATATTATCGAAATCTACAGTTTCTATATGTCCAGTGTTGATTCCTACAGTTCGTTGATAATCTCCATGCTGCAAAATGTATAGATATAATGTCACTCTTTTGCAAGACCCGATGTTTAGTGGCGACGCCTACCACCTGTAACTGGAATTTCCGAATTTTTGACCCGGTTTTGAGATTTTTGCCCAATTTTTGCTTTCGGGACTGCGAGGGGGCGGCTGCCCCATCTGCTACCCCCCCCCCCCCCTCCTCTTTGGCTCCGCCACTGACTGGAGGTAGAATTAGGCAGCAGACTCATATGAAAATACGTCATTTTCATTTATATATGGTAATAACACTGTAATAACCATACGTGGTTTGATATGGAGGTAGACTCAGTTGGATGACAAGTGTCGCCGTCACCGCTGTTGTCATTTCTAGTCTTTTAGTAAATTGATCTACTGATGGATTCGATGACTTAATAGATTTAACCACCACAAATATAGCAAGTAAATACTCACGTTTGCATGGACGCGTTTTAAATTGAGTAAAATGGTGTTTTGAACTCGTTCAACGAAGGAAGAAAAACCGGAGATTTCTTGACGACTGTAACCTTGGAAGGTATCCAACATACAAATTCCAGTTCTCTGGATAAATTCCATAAGCTCACCGAAATCTACCTAAAATAATGCACAAAATATCGAAATCAGTAACATATAACTTTACCATTAGCTTCGTCAACTGGGCATCCCTTTGGCTAATAGATGATAATTAAGGTATTATTGGATTCGTCAATTCAGCAAGACAAACGGTCTACCGTGAACATTCTGCAAGCCCTCTGCAACATATCACTGTAATGAATGACATTCATTAATTAAGATTATTACGTGATAGTACTACTGTTCAAACGTCAGAAGGTGGTCGTAACGGACTACAAGCGTTTGTTAACAAAGTCAATAAAATGAAAAAATATTGTAAGACATGGATTCAAAATGATAATAAAAGGTATCATTGGTAAACCAAAATAAAGCAATAAATGCATAAGTTAGTGTGAGAATTATCCCCTACAGGCTCCTCTGACAATTGATTGTGAAATGCAGGAATTTAAGTGTCTCCCAAGAAGAATTCAACCATTCATCACCGAGACAGATTCAGCTTTACTGAAACTGCCGAAGTGTGTCGATTGCTCAGCAAATTAGTGTCACAAGCTATTAAAGAAATACATAATAATTTCATCAGATTATTGACGGCAACGAAACACCCAGATCTAGATTAAATATTTTGGCTGGCATGTCTAAAGTGTGGCAGATCCCTGGTCGTAACACGTACCTGTCCGTCCTCGTCTTTATCTAGAGAATCGAACGCCTCCTCGGCTGAAATCACCTCCCCAAACAGTAATTCACAATGTTTATCAGTAAAACTTTCTTTCTGAAATTTATGAAAAGACAAATAAATGACATTATTTTGAAGGATTGGACGCAAGCTGCACAGTGGCTTCGGGTGTAAGTGTTACCCCTTTCACTTGTTAGATAACACAAAACAAAATTGTTGTAGTCAAATCAATTACTTGCTAATTTTCCTAAAGGGGAGGTTTTGTGGCTCATATCAATATGGAAACATATAACTTACGTCTTCAAAAACTAGTTTTAGTTCACCAAGGTCCATACTGGCTTTATCAGCAATATTGTGTTTGTGTATAGTCTGAAAATATTTTTTAAAAAGTAAATTAAACGGTGGTTTACATCTTTCCTTTGTGTCACTGGTTTGGGCTGAAGACTTGCAACGTCATGAAGTAGGTAATGGCGCAAATTTTCGAACAACCGTCTAATTTTTAATAATAATTAGAGAACCACTAGGTCTCCGTAAAATATCAATGAAGAAACAACTTGAATTCTAAAAGGTACGGCATTCGAGCGGTCTGGTCGGAGATTATTACAGTTTAAATTCCTTCGGGCTGGAATGAACAAGACTACTACGCTCGATTTCACATGCAGTTTTCTGTTTCTTTTGTATTTCACGTACTCGACAGCTTGAGTTTGACGTGTTTTTTTGTAAAAATGATAAAGTATATGGATATGATTTGTTCAAATTTAGCACTCAGAGTGAGTTTTCATGAATGCCCTTGTCGCCCCCCTCCCCTCCAAGGGAACCACCACAAATCTACTATCTTAACTTACTTACCACAAGAAAAGCGTTCACAGCGTCCATAACACAAGCATGGATTTTTTCAACTTTTTTCTGCTTCTTCTTTATATCCAAGAGTTTTCTTGAAATGTAATAAAGTAAGTGTAAGCAAGAAAATTAGGCAGATGGAGTTTTACGTCATACCTTTATGCTAATATTCAGTTGGTAAATGAAAACAGGCAATTCCATTTACTGCACATTGAGATGATTCTACTCATTTCAGGGTTCGAATTATCGAGGCATTTGTTATGAAGCCCAAACACGTTCAATAAAACCATCAATATTATGGACTCAATATATTGATTAATTACTATTGAAAGAACAGTTCAACATGCCATCAATACGTGAAGTAATGTGTTTAAATGACATTTAGCAAATGTGAGTATTATAAAATAACTCTTTCTATTGACAACAGTGTAGATTATTTTATATCCCCGGTTCCCAACCTAGGATGTTTTCGGCGTGTGGTCAACTGGTGTAGGAAAAGAATTTGTTATACTAATTTAGTGTTCCCAACCGTTGCTATCTGTAACAGCATTGATTCTCATTGATTCTTACTGATCTTATAATTGTGAATAATTAGATGCATTATGTCACTTTAGAATTACTTTAGAAAGACGAAAATGCAGTCGCCTACATTATCGCTACTCACTACTGAAAAAGAATAACATGGCGCGCTTACTTTAATTCACATTCAAACTCGTCACAGTGGGATTGCTAAACATTTGCATGTTGAAAAAGATTTCTTTATGGTTTCGTTTCGTCATACGTAATGAAAAACATTCCAACTTTTTATTGCAGCCTGCATCAGAAAAACGTGCTTTTCAATTCGCGAATATCAAGTCTTAAATGACCTGGCGGGATGGCGGGGGCGGTCCGCCTTCGGCGGAGAATTCAAGACACCGTTTTTTTAGTTTTAAGAAAACAACCGTGCAAACTTGGTTAGAATTTTATGTATGAGACAATATATTAAGTTAATGTTATTGATGGTGTATGAGCAAGCAACGGACAATATTACAACCAAATATATGGTCATTCATTGCATTCATTTCATTCACCTGTAGAGCTTGGTATCTTGACTGGGCTTAGCAGGAATCAGAACACCGACTCGTTTATCTAACTCCGTTTTCATCAAATCTTGTTCATAGTCAGAGTACTGAAAGATGAAGATAACAGAGCTATAAGTGACGGTACCTAGTTGATATTGTGGTAAGAGAGGTCATGCTTAAATTCTTTTGTACAATTTGTGCAACCATGGCATTGATGCTTTGGGATGCATCTTTATTTTACATGGCTACTACTTATCCGCTAGTGTTTCAAACTTCTTGGCGTAGTATTTGCACCGTGGGCGGCCACCCTGCTTTATCTTGTAAAACATGGGACACTCTTCTTCAAATTAGTTCTGAAGATACTAGTAGTAAACAACATACCACTTGAAATCCAAGAGTTTTTTCATTAAAGCCTCCAAATCGGACAGCCGGATCATACAGATTCGTTAGGTTGGATAATGGAGTAAATTTTGTCAGAAAACTGTCATCAGGCTTCAATGATAAATACCAACCTAAAAAATACAAATATTTTATTGACTTCATGACATAAATCGTTTTACTGTTATGTAGCTTATTGGGTTATTGAAAAGCAACGTTCTGCTGTTCTGTACCATACTGGTTTAATGGTATTAAACGTTCTACTGTCTGTACCTAATTGAGTTTAAGAAATGAATTTTTCTACTGTCAGAAATATGATTTAAAGTGTTAACTCACCATCAAAACAGTGTATAGGGTAATTACACAGCAAACCACCGTCAACATAAACATCCATTGATCCAAACAAGGTCTCTTTAGACGCTTGGAAATATCCTAGAATACCACAACATCAGATTTATCAAATACGTTCCCTAGGACAAAAGTTTTGGAAGGAGTATCACAGTGAAGCTTGTCTTTGAAATCAACTGGGAGAAGAAGTTTTAAGGTAGGAGTTTTTTTCGATAAGTACTGATAGGAGTGGTAGCATAAATTTCTTCGTGTACACGTTTCCAAAACTAGAGATCCATAAAGATAAAACTTGGTCCCACTTTGTCAAAACTAGTGATCTATAAAGTTAAAACTTGGTCTCACTTGAGGTAAAAACTAGAGATCTATAAAGATAAAACCTGCTCTCACTTTGTCAAAACTAGAGATCCATACAGATAAAACTTTGTCTCACTTGAGGTAAAAACTAGTGATCCATAAAGATAAAACCTGTTCTCACTTTGTCAAAACTAGAGATCTATAAAGATAAAACCTGTTCTCACTTCGTCAAAAGTAGAGATCTATAAAGATAAAACTTGGTCTCACTTTGTCAAAACTAGAGATCTATTGAGATAAAACTTTGTCTCACTTGATGTAAAAACTAGTGATCCATAGAGATAAAACTCGGTCTCACTTTGTCAGAACAAGTGATCTAAAACTTGGTCTCACTTTAGGTCAAAACAAGAGATCTTTAAGATAAAACTTGTTCTCACTTGAAGTTAAAACTTGATCTCACTTAAGGTAAAACGGGCGTACCTGAGATGTAATGGGCCCATAAGTTAATATTGGAACAACAAGATGAAAAGGACGCACAGTTAAAGACCGTAAAGGCTTGAAAGGTAGGTGATTAACGTACCTGGTATGGACATGGACATACACACAGCACGTCTGATTGGAAGATGGGGTGTGGTCTTCACGTGACAGAACGTTACATTCATTCTGTTGACGTTGGTAACGCAGATACACAGCTCTATACCTTTCTTCTTGTATAACTAATAAAATAAAATACAAAATAGATTTATAACAGAATAACTGGAAAACCATCATATTAAAGAAATCCTCTAATCCTTACACCATTCTGATTTTCTTGTATTTCTATGTGTATCAGACACTTAAAGCTTCTATTTACACCATTCTGATTTTCTAGTCTTTGTATGTGTATCAGGGACACTTATAGCTTCTATTTACACCATTCTGATTTTCTAGTCTTTGTACGTGTATCAGGGACACTTATAGCTTCTATTTGCACCATTCTGATTTTCTAGTCTTTGTATGTGTATCAGGGACACTTATAGCTTCTATTTGCACCATTCTGATTTTCTAGTCTTTGTATGTGTATCAGACACTTATCTTATTGTTTATCTGAAAACTCTACTTTAATTCACTATAGTTACCTGTTTGAAAGTGATGTCTGCATCACCGACCTTCTTCTCGATGTGTTTTCCCATTTCATTATAAACCTTGCTTGTTGGCTTCCATCCAAAACTATTTATCATATTAGGCAAAAGGTTCAGAACGCCCCATGGGTTGTCTACAATTAAAAAGACATAAAAGTGGCAAAAAGGTTCATACCTAGATTTACTTTGTATATTTTAACGCATCTATATAACAGTCCAAGAAAAGAGTTAGAAGGCATGGTTCGACATTTTCATGAATCAATCGCTATTTCTAAGATTTTCTATTTTGAAGAAGGTTAATAACACAGAAGCCTCAATCGAAGCTACGACGAAAGATGTCTGGGTGTCAGAGATATATAAACATTGAACAAATTGCGAAACGGTGGACTTTAAAACTAGACGTTAATGGGACATTCCGCTTTCTTTGTAGGTCGAAAAAATATTGTTCTCAAATTTGGGAAAACTATACACCAAAATCTAGAGAAATGTGCCCTTTAACGTATCTGAAAGTTTTAACTAAAAAAATCCAGCCGTTAATTTTTAAACGCCAAAAAACATAACTTAAGGTTCGTTATGCATTTTGGAAGCTGTTAGAAAACTACTGTGCGGATTTGAATTAAGAAAAACGCCTAATTGTAGAGTATTCTAAAGGTTTCGACTAATATCAAAGCTAGGTCAAACTGCTTAATCAACAATTAGTACTCTCCGTTTTTAATAAACCTCTTTAAAACAAATTCAGTTTGATCAAGAAGATACATAGATGTAAATAGCAAACTTTACAAAAAAAAGTGGAATACACCTTTAAGGTGAAAAACTCTGTTTAATTGGTAAAGTTACGAAGCCTTTTTTCAATGTGTATTAGGGACACTTATAGCTTCTATTTACACCATACTGGTTTTCTAGTCTTTATATGTGTATCAGAGACACTTATAGCTTCTATTTACACCATACTGGTTTTCTAGTCTTTATATGTGTATCAGAGACACTTTATTAATTATTAATTTACCGTTTAATACTGATGATATGTATTTTGGTTCTAGAAAATTTGAGATGTCTTCGCTTCCATACCCAACGGCGAGATAGCAGGCGCACATTGCCCCTGCACTGCTTCCGGCAAACCTCTTGATTTTCTTCGCCAGTCCAATTTCTTCCATATACTACAAAAATAGAAAAGCTTCAACATAACTAGGACTCCTTGTTCTAGAGTTAGACAGATATGGACGTTAAGCTCTATTTCTTTTCTGAAATGCGGGTCGAGTTGACAAACCTGAATATTAAATAAACATTATTACGTTATCAGCTACTTGGACTGAAAGAAATGACGAGTTGACAAACCGCTCTAGGACATAGATATGTGAACTCTCTGAAAGGTGGTTTGGCAAACAGTAATAGCAAACGTCTAACAATAACTTACCCTTAAAGCCCCCACGTATGCGGCACCCTTAATTCCACCGCCCTCTAAAACCAAGTTTTCAAAAGAAAAGTTATAATCCTTGGGGTCAATCTTCATGGCCTCCAAATCTTTTGGGGATAAAGACTGGCATTCTTCCTCCACGGGATTACATCTTAAAGAATTTTGGCTTTCGATTAGAGTCATCCGCCTTTGCATATCCTGTTCAGCCTTTGAAGGTTGTACGCTTGCACCATTTCCCATGTTAGTACCTAAATGAAAAATGTCATTTCACTTTTCTACCGTCAGTTCTGATGTCAGAACCGATGTCAACAACTATCTTTGTATCTCATTAATTATACAAAATCTGATTGGTCAATATCATCAAATCAAATAAACATCAACCAATCATTGTGTACGACTTTATGAGGTCTCTGTCAACAGGTCAAAAGTTATGTCTCGCATAGCTAATACCGAGTGAAGTTTCGCATAGAAAGCATGGTGTCCGGTGCAGGATTTTCGATACAGTAGATACTAGAAGAACGCGTACTTCTTCTATAATATTTGCACTTATTTCCTCAACAGAAACTGTACACCACACTACACTGCATCGAAAGTCACGCAAATCACCGCACCGGACATCACAAACTTCACCGTATCGTATACAACACCGTACACCGTATCGGATACCTTACCTTTATCAAAGATCGACTCTATTTAATGAATGGCCTGAACCGTGCACTTAACTCGAGCCACTAACCAATTCAATTTCGCTGTAGACATTTTTGACTGTTATGAATTAATCATGTCAAGCGCATCCATATGAAAAAATTTGTCATAATAAAATAGGCTAAAAAAGAGGACAAGTAACTTGTTTACTGGATACTCAACACCGGTAACGAGTAATTCTTTTGAGGTTTAAACCTTTTTACACTTAAAAGTTTAGGAATAATCTGTGCCTTATATTTTTCATCGAAAGTAAACAGGACAACCAGGACCAACTGTAACAGACAACTCGGGTCAACTTTAACAGACAACTCGGGCCAACTTTAAAAGACAACTCGGACCAAAATTAACAGACAACTCGGACCAACTTCAACACACAATTCGGACCATCTTTAACAGACAACTCGAACCAACTTTAACACACAACTCGGGCCAACTTTAACAGACAACTCGGACCAAAATTAACAGACAACTCGGGTCAACTTTAACAGATAACTCGGACCAACTTTAACAGACAACTCGAACCAACTTTAACAGACAGCTCGGATCACCATAAACAGACAACTCGGACCAACTTTAACAGACAACTCGGACCAACTTTAACAGACAACTAGGGCCAACTTTAAAAGACAACTCGGACGAAAATTAACAGACAACTCGGACTAACTTCAACACACAACTCGGACCATCTTTAACAGACAACTCGAACCAACTTTAACAGACAACTCGGGCCAAAATTAACAGACAACTCGGACCAACTTCAACACACAACTCGGACAATCTTTAACAGACAACTCGAACCAACTTTAACAGACAGCTCGGATCACCATAAACAGACAACTCGGACCAACTTTAACAGACAACTCGGACCAAAATTAACAGACAACTCGGACCAACTTCAACACACAACTCGGACCATCTTTAACAGACAACTCGGACCAACTTTAACAGACAGCTCGGATCACCATGAACAGACAACTCGGACCAACTTTAACAGACAACTCGGACCAACTTGAAAAGACAACTCGGGCCAAAATTAACAGACAACTCGGACCATCTTTAACAGACAACTCGGATCAACTTTAACAGACAACTCGGACCAACTTTAACAGACAGCTCGGATCACCATAAACAGACAACTCGGACCAACTTTAACAGACAACTCGGACCAAAATTAACAGACAACTCGGACCAACTTCAACACACAACTCGGACCAAATTTAACAGACAACTCGGACCAACTTTAACAGAGTTGTCTTAAGTCCGAATTGACTTTGGTCTGATAAACGGCGTCAATAGACAAGGTACTCGATATCCGATGCTGGCTTGGGTGCAGGATTACCGATGTAACAAAATATTGAAGAAGCGAATGCCTGTCCATGTACGGAGATGGACATTAAAGATGTGTTCCCTCATGAAAATCAAAATGCTAATACTTATATGAATAGCAAGTAGAGGTGTTCTAATGACTAGTTTACCAGTTTGTCTCACATGTCCATAATTAATTCATAATTAGCTAAATTAGAAGAGAATTACCGGCAGAATTCCAATGAGTGACCGATCAAAAAAGGTCAAAAAATCTTTTTTTATTTATCCAGAGTGTACATACATGGACATTTATGATTGGTTAAAACTATTAATTATATGCAATAAGAACATAATGATATGATTAAGAATACATGATAATTCATTAGAAACACCAATTAATCAAATAGTTTGCTTAATTTAACACTAAAAAATAAGGAAGCCCATCTTTAAGTGTTTGGCTACTTCTATTGTATCAATAACTCCACATCGAACGTGACATCGAACCGTGTCTATTCCCACCTTTACACAAGAATTTATCTTTACTTTACCTTGAGTATATTAATTGGAATCCGTTTAAATATGAAGAAATATACAATGACGCACTTTATATTACTGAATACGACGTCAAGAGTTTCTAAAAAAAAATACGGGCAGCCACAATTGAGTTTTATCAACTTTTACAAAACGAATGTCTCTATCCCTTTAACACTAACACAGTATAAACAAAAAGGATTCGAATTTACGGTAAAAAAAATATCAAATCCTTCACTAGTAAAACAGCGATCACAGTTTTTAACAGTAAAACATATACTTGGAAGTAAGTTCTATCCGCTGGTGAAGCGAAAAACTCTAATGTCTGTACCTGTACAATATAAGAATATAAGCACAGTACTGTATCAGATCTTAAAATATCCTATTTCGGCCTATAAGCGCATGAATGAAACTAAGCATCTGCTGGTAAATCGAAACAAAAAACGATTATATCTCTATGTCATCCGTCGAGTTTAGTTTCTGTATAAATTCTCCTATAATTTAATAATACGACGTTATAATTCACAGAAAAATGTATATTCACGAAATAACTATTTCCTGGTAGTTTAAAAAAGCGACAGTATATGAAACTAAAAATACCGTCTAAGGACGAATTAATCAAATGGAAATTTTTCAAGTCAGAGCATGCAATGATCCTCCCTCCCCCTTCCCTCCCTCAAAAAGAAAAAAATTACGGTGGGCGGGGTTTTAAAAATATGATAATTTACATTGGATTATTATAAGGTTTAACGATTATTAATAAGATTAAGCTATTTTGGGATTAATCCAGATTAATGGATTACAGTAAACCTCAATGATATCAACGAATATCTTTACCAGGTTTCTAAACTTTTTAGGTGTATCTTGGACACTGATTGTATTGATGTATTGTATTCCAATTTCTAGTTGGGAGCCGCGGTGGCTCAGTGAGTTAGACGCTTGCTTGCTAACCTAAAGGTCCAGGGTTACATCCCGGCATAGGTCGAGATAATACCTCCGGATTTTTCAACCCGGTTTCCCCCTGTCAGTGATGCAGGTAAGAGGGGCTGACATGGAAAAAGCGTCTAGTCGTTCTGATGGGACAATAAACCGAGGCCCTGTGTGCTACAGGCTGTGCACATTAAAGATCCCTCGACAGTTGGAAATCGAAAAAGAGCAGGCTGATGCCGCTGTCCTGTCAAAATTTCCCTCATGGCACCCTGCATAGATACAAAAGCGTTTAACTAGAAATTGAAAAATGAAATGAAATGTCCTACTCTCCTGCACCATGTGGACTAATGAAGACGGGCAACGCCATGCAGGGTGCCATGAGGGAAATTTTGCCAGGACAGCGGCATTAGCCTGCTCTTTTTCGATTTTCAACTGTCGAGGGATCTTTAACGTGTCCGTGTGTGGGAGCCTTAACCTATGATAGCGATTGTCATTGTGACAGCAACCCTTTTTACAATAGCACTCTACATTATGATACCCCAATAAAACCCAATTTTGATAGCAAATAATTTATGATAGCAACGTTTATATAACCATAATAACTTGCACAATTTCAATGGTAGAAAAAACTAGCCAACCTACCGAGACAAATAAATCAAAAAATATAGCTCACCATCTACTTAAAGTGACGGTTGCACCATTTTTGGGGGTTGATGTGAGTCTTGAAAATATGTAAAGTATATAAGTATTAGAAATGTACGTAAATCGCATAACTCCTTCAAAAATATCTTAATTTAGGAATTTAACTCACTATTTCTATATATGTCTTTTCTATATATCACAGAGTATTTTAAAATGACGAGTCAAACGGGGATAATTCTGGACATACATGGATTAGAAGGTTCAAATTTCGACGGTGAGCTGTGAACACTATTACTGATTGGCTTAACTAAAAAATTCTTGTTTGTAGACTAAAGTATGATTGGTCAAAAAGAATGGCGCATCTCTCTCTTTAAAATACCACTTACCACCGGTTGATAAAGGGGTAATTTAACCTTTCGTTTAAAAATGAAACCTTCTAGAATATAATTTTCAGTCATCTTTCATTGTCAAATTTATATGCCTTTATCAAATTTCAAGTGTAATTGAAATTTTACCCATTTGACTTGAGACATATTGTTCATATTTGCAAGGTTTATTCAATTACAGACGAACTTAGAAACTAATAAAAAAGACGGTTTTTTTGGGGTTTTTTTTTATTCATTTCTTTTTTTCTTTGAAAATGCCAAGTATGTTTTATTACATTGTAGACGGACCGAAAAATGATACTGAAATTGATCCATCTTTATTTATATTTTAAAGATGGGTTTCCTTATTTTTTAGTGTCAAATTATGCAAACTATTTGATTAATTGGTGTTTCTAATGAATTATCATGTATTCTTAATCATATCATTACGTTCTTATTGCATAAAATTACGAGTTTTAACCAATCATAAATGCCCATGTATGTACAGTCTGGATAAACAAAAAAAACTTTTTGACCTTTCTTGATCGGTCACTCATTGGAATTCTGCTGGTAATTCTCTTCTAATTTAGCTAATTATGAATTAATTATGGACATATGAAACAAACTGGTATTTTTCTTAGTCATTAGAACACCTCTACTTTCTATTCATATGAGTATTAGTATTTTCATTTTCATAAATGAAAATAAGGGAACCCATCTTTAATATCCATACCATTACAAGTAGAAAAATACGTTATTTTTGTGTATTGCGGTGTCGTGTTTTCACTAAACAAGATACATAGCAATGTTTTCAACCAGTCAATCAACTTGCCTATCCGAGTAGGTTATCAAACGAAGTCTAATTCAAACACGACTAAATCATACAAACTGTCAAAAACCATGCACAAAACAATAAATTTCAATAATGTTACGTTTCATATAACATTAAAATGTAGATTTAATCGTGAGTATATTTCACAATTTTGGGACAATTTTGTAACCAATGATAAAGGTGCATTAGCACATGCTAGAAACGGTTAAATTGAGGTTAAATCTATAAACTAAACGAAAGGTAAGATCTTATCGAAGATTTTTTTTGGAATTAAAGTCGCAAAAACATACAGATAATAACAACAAAATCCACAGTTGACGAGATCTACAATAATTCTTGAGGAACCTGTCCACCAGCTAGTTCTTGGCTTGACATTCACATTTCACAAGAATAAGAGCAAGGATATAGATCCAGTCTGCTCGCTGACCCTTGGTCAAACATCATATCTTAAAACTAAGGTACCTGTTTTATCCATCCATGTACAGTTGACACGACTGGAAAAAGGGGAAAATGACTTATTCAGTATCCATTTACAGTTGTCACGTCTTAAAAATGAAAAAAAAATATGACTTATTGACATTATTTTTTTAGAGTGATTATGCTGGGGTATAGATTATTCTTGGTGATATTATTAGTTTTGATAAAACCTACCCATCCTGTGTTCCCTTTCAGTGACCCCAATATTAAAGGTAAGTCTATAATGTGTGTTCAGTGCGAGCTGTCGATGGGTCACGTGCAAATGAACCGAAGTCGAGATTCAATTTAACGACTCGTAACACTTCAGGACCGCAGATGAAAAGGTATAAATATGTACGTAGCCAGGAAACAGAGCTCTAAGTTTTTCGTGTTACTTTCCAGAATAAAAATCCGGCACACGGGTCATCAACAAGTGAATTGATAGTACTAGGAGAACCGCTTCAATCGGCGAAAGTAATAGCCTATTTCTAGAACAATTACTAGAATTATCTCATGAGGCACTCACGATATCATGACGTCATTGATAGTATCGATATAATCATTCATTCTATTCATTCCATTCATTCTATTCATTCATTCTATTCATTCTATTCATTCATTCTATTCATTCTATTCATTCTATTCATTCTATTCATTCTATTCATTCTATTCATTCTATTCATTCATTAATTCTATTTATTCATTCTATTCATTCACTGTATTCATTCTATTCATTATATTGATTCATTATATTCATTCATTTATTCTATTCATTCATTCTATTCATTATATTCATTATATTCATTATATTGATTCATTCTATTCATTCTATTCATTCTATTCATTCATTCTATTCATTCATTCTATTCATTCATTCTATTCATTCTATTCTATTCTGTTCTTCTATTCATTCATTAATTTTATTTATTTATTCTATTCATTCACTGTATTCATTCTATTCATCATATTGATTCATTATATTCATTCATTTATTCTATTCATTCATTCTATTCATTATATTCATTATATTGATTCATTCTAATCATTCTATTCATTCTTTCAATCTATTCAATCTATTCATTCTATTCTATTCTATTCATTCTATTCTTCTATTCATTCATAATCTAT